AACAATCGCAAGCCAGATACTGCTTGGCTGAAACAGCACTAGTTATTCTGGAGAAACTGTAAGGGAGCGGAGGCAAACCACAGGGACAGAAGATAGTTGCGGATCCAGTGAGACATGCCACGCACAACCCTTAAAGAGGAAGGAAGAGACTGAACACCCTTACAGGAGAAAGATTGCCACGCACCAGCTCAGTGGCAGAAGAAAAAAGGGCAAGGAGGGTTAGAGGAAGAGGGAGAAGATGGATATGCAGTGTACAACGGAGAAAGCCTGCGGTGTGTTTGGTGGGGGGACACTCCCAAAACAAGAGAACAGGCAATTTCTAATTCTCTTCCCAGCATCAGTAGAAAGCCTCCTGCAAATGGAGAAGCCCATATTTCCCCAAACGTGGAATGACCAATTCTGTGTACTACAGTATTGGTTCTGCTGAAACACCACTAATCCCTTCGTTCAATGGAACAACCACTCTGAATTCACTCCAAACTTGTCAGTGAAAATTTTGCAGAGAAAGTATTTCAAGTTCACCTTTCTTTGGACCCAGCAGATGAGGAAGAAAACTCTTGACAGCTACAGGTTCAGCAAACACAAGCTGATTGAGCAAGAGAGGCACCAGCCGTGATGCTATCAGCTCCTCTGATAAGCAGGCCACTCTGTCCAGCCGGAATCTGTGTCCAAGAGAGAGCAATTAGTACCAAGGCAGCCCTTCATGCATTTACAACCGTTTCCCTTAAATACCACTTTCCTTTCTTTTTGAGTCTGCCTTGTCTGCTAGAGATGAAGTCCATCACAGTCTCTCACTCTGCACGTATACTGCCCTAAAAGGGCAAAGCTCTGCTCCTAACCAAGGCTTCTAAGACAAATCATGAGGCAATAAGGAAACGCTGAGAGACGCACCCTGTAAAATCCCACACCCGGACCACTGACTGTCAGGAGCACATGCAGAAGCACCACCACACCTACAGCCAGCCAGCACATGAATGCCACTGCTGTGGCATCCTCCCTGGCTCAGAGCCGGCAGCTCAAATGAAGCGCTAAAGCATTAAAATTGCAAAAGAGAGTTGCACTCCCACCCCACACCCTGGTGCATAGCAAGAATGGTTTTCCTGCTGCTTGAGAAAAGGTATTTTACTCACCACGCACTGTGAACGGGCTGCTTCCCTTGCAAAAAGGAAATCCCACTTGAAACCACTTTCATCTAATGCAAAAAGCATTTGAGGTGGCTGTCAAAGCAGGGGTTGGGTTTAAGTTGCAAGAGTTTGATTTTGTGCAACAGCTTTGTAGAATTTTCATTTTTTTCAATATCAGTAACAGAAACTGCATTTCTCTAGGTTTGGAGGAGACTTATAGTGCACATGCTGTGAGAAAGCATGCCAGGAAGGAACGACTCTACCGTATCTTCAAATGAAGTGTTTGTTCCCTCCCTCAGTAGACACTGCTATTACAGAGATGCTGAGAACCATTCTGAATGCTCCTGCAAAAGATTCCCTTTCTCCTCTTCTTTAGTCTAACTAAGTCTCAAACTAGTGAAATCAAACTAGTGTTATAATTGACGGTGACCACAGAAGTACAAAACAAGCAGGAAAATAGCTCTGCAAGAACTCCAGGCCTCCTTTATATACACAAAGGAAGAAAAATTCAGCTTCTCCCTTTTTCTAGCTCAGATGCGCCATGACTACACTGAAGCTTCTCTTAGAGAAAAGTTCCTGGGGACCATGGCAATAGGATTTCCCACAGATGCTGACTACTAGCAGTACCACAGCTTAGACTTCCATTACAGACAACTATTTTACCCACCCAAGGCTGGACCACAATTTTAATTCACCCAACATTTCCTGTCGAAAACTGTCTCCATAGCAGTTTACAAGATCTGCCTAAAGAACAGAAGTTTTCAGCCTCAAGTGTTGTCTGGTGCTAGATTCCACTTTGCGAAGCCTCATCTAAAACGATGAGGCTACTCTTAAGAACGAGGGTAGCAAAAGATTCTTTTTTCCAATCACATTGAAAGACGTCTTCTGATCTTTTAGAGCGTACACTTTGAAACTGGGCAAGCAGATGGCCTTTGGGTAAAGAACTTCCCTGCAACAGCAAGGAGTACAACATGCTTAGGCTGGATCAGGACAGAAGCCACAGGGAAAGTCTTACAGCTCCCACGTGCTCAGCAGACTAGAGCCGCTTCCCAAAGACGGGAAGTAGTTGGTAACACTCCCCCACAGCTCTGCGCTACCACACCTGCCATGCTCCAGCCACACGGAACATCCAGGCCTTCTCAGCAGCGGGGCTGACGCAGAAAACCTCAACACTGCGGTGTTCCTCCAGGCTTCCTTGGAGAAGGAATTTCCCCTCCCTTACTCTAGGGCTGGCCTGCAAGGGGCAGGAGGCACGTGGCACAAACGCAGAGCCACAAAGAGCCTGGCATGTAGGTGGGGAAAGCAGAACAGTGATCTGGGACCCAAGGGCCATGGTGAGGTTGGGCAGAGCTGGAGAAGAGCAGTGGCAAGTGGAAGAGCAAGCAAGACCTGCTGGGCAAAGAGACCGGAAAGTGGCAGGGCCCTGGAACAGCTCCATCAAGTAACCAGAGGACAGGCTGGAAGTCAGTAATTGCTCACCAGAGCTGAGGGAAGAGCTCAACTTAGTTCATCAGCGTTGCAGCGCACAAGCTTGTTTTACCACCCTCAGTCACAGCATTAGCACAACACTACAACATACGAATGGACTTTTTCAAATGATTCCTGCTTAGCCACAGTGCCATGAGAGATGAGACAGTGCAGCTGAGAAGAACGGAGGAAAGCTGGAATAATTAAACTCCTCCTGCTAATAACATCAACATTATTCCCCACAGAGTGCATTAGCTCATTTAGAACACAATGGAAAGAGGTTACAAACAATAGAAAAATTGTTTTCTTTTTACATCCCAGTTACCCTTGGGAAAGTTTCTGTTCTTGGCCCTGCCTGAGTTCAACCAAACTGCTAGAAAGCAGACAGGATTCAGAAAAGCAAGCTTCAAGTGACTGCATTTTACTGCAGTCCAGTTTCTGCCCGATTCTCCAGCAATATCAATTGGTCTGTAGCAGACAAATATTGCTGTTCATACAGCTGTCCACAGCATCATTCCAGAGGCTGTTATCAGAATAACAGAGAGCCCAGCAGGCACTGCTTCTCCCAAACACCAAACCGTTCCCAGCAAGAAATTAGAAAAGGGGGGAAGGAAGAGTTTCCTCTGATACAAGCACTAGTTTGGCTTGGAGTACCCAAACTGTACATTACAGAGCAAACAGTGGTCTGTCAGAGTGATCAAAATCATGCACCTGAGGAAGTACCTTTCAGGCCACTCCCCAAGATCCCATTTGGCAGAAGCGTTTCTGAAATGAAAAGCTTTGACTCAAGTAATTCTTTTACTTACTTGAAAAATTCAGTTTTTTCCTCCTCAGACTTTAGTGTTAAGGTCTTCAGAAAGTTCACAACTTCCAGAAAGTCATTCCTAAGGATAAAAACGTAGGCAGTCAAGCATGATCAGTCCTTGATGCTGCTTAAACCATCCACAACTAAGTACTCACAAATCCCCGTTACTTGGCAGACAAAAACGGGAAGGGAGATACAAGTCAAATGCTGGTGGACCAAAAACATCGATGTGACAGTCTGACCTCTTATGCACCAGCTGTATGTTGACAGTGCCAAAGTACAGCTGAGACTTTGGAAGTCCACGATTCACAGGGACATGAGGACAAGGCTGCACTAGCTATCTCTGACCATTATCCAGGGGCAATAAGCAGAAGGAAGTGCCCACCCTACTCTAACACCGCCATCAGGAGAAACAGTTAAGTGACAGCAGACACCGGTCTATGCAGGTTGTCTCAGAACCTGCTTTACTCTAAGTGCCACCTCTAATGACTTTGTTTTCTAGGGCATTCCCCACCACCTCCCATGAGCTTGAGGAGGTCTCACCGGCTGCATGTGACAGAAGGACACACTTTTTCACCATTGCTAGCTCAAGACCTCATTGGGAACGTTGATTATACGTTGACAACGCAGAAATAAGCAATCTGAAGACATACTCAGACAGGCAGGATATTCCTTTTCTTACCTGAAGAACTCATGAGACAGTAAGCTTGACAGTGGTGGACGACACTTTGGATCTGGATTCAGCAGTGTACGGTGCAATGTTTGCTGAAAGCTGGAGAGAATATCTGCTGAAACTGAAAGCCAGAGCACCTACAGTTAGATTTCTTTCTCAGCACTGAACGTACTATGGTCAGGGATCCTCCCCTCCTCCTGAAAACTTCTTTTTAGAAGCTCTAGTTGACAGCAAACTATTCAACCGCTCACATCTCTACTGTTCCACCCCAAAGGAAGGGGGAACAGCATTCTCATTTTCCTCCCTAAGCTGCTGAGCTACTGGGGCACCAAAAAGTTTAACAGTGAACAAGCAAATGCAGACTATAAAGGTCTGTCAGTCTTCTAATGAAGACAGACTTGTCTTGACTGGAGTGTTACTACCTACCAAGCAGTTTTCTTTTCCCTCTCTGCTTTCCTTTGTGTTTTCCTTTCTGCCTCTCTCTGGGGCAGCAGCCCCAACTCAGCTGTGATACAGAACATCTACACGCTGTGCATCTGTGTCCCTAACTTTTGATGAAGCGGCTGATGGGGGCAGGACCAAGCTGCGGATGGATTTGGGAGCGCTCATACTGTGCGGGCTGGTGACCTCCAGCCAGGCCTAGGAGAGCGCACGTGATCATGCTCGAAAGCAGGAAGAGGGGAACATAGGATAAACTTAAGTCTATTTTAACCTGAGTTATCCAGTTCTCATCTCCTGTTGCAAGATAAAAACTCATTCTTGCCTCCACATCCAGGAAGCTGCTGCTACACTCAGTTTAGGAGAAGAAAGGAAGAAGTTCTCTCAAGGGTCACTTGCACATGCATCACTTGTCACCAACCATCTCAAGTCCTTTCAGAAAAAGGGGGTCCAAGATACTAAGTTTTGTGGGTGACCAAAAAAAAAAAAAAACCCCAAAAAGAAAAATTATGCAGTTTACCATGCGTAGGCAGAAGGAGGCAAGATTCTGGAACAGACACAAGCTCTGCCTACCACCATCCTGACACTCCAGCTCCTGGACAACCCTGACCCACAGCACCACAGCCAGCTCCTATTCAAACAGGACATTGCCTCACCAGGGACTGCAACTGCTAGAATAGGAGCCACACTGATCTCTGTAAACAAGAAACCAACATTCTCCTCCAAAGAGACTTCTGTCTAAGAAGGTGAAGCATAAAACAGGAGGAACTTGTACAGAAGTATTTCTCATTTTGGAAATTCCTAGCAAACATGAAGAACATCAGCGCCCACTATCCCTGTAACACATCTGTCAGAAAACACAGCTGCAATGAAAGGCAAATACCTCAGTTTATGCATGCAAGAAATAAGCTATGCAGGATTGTTGGCAGAAAAACAAATACATTTCATTTTCATTCCTCACCCTGATCATTTAGGACAGTCAGGAGATTTTCAACCATCATTCCAAACGCGTAGGCATCTCGTGCATACCCATGGCTGTTGGGCAGAATTTTGAAATCTGCAGACTTAAAGAAATAATCGTCAGCAAAGCAGGAGTTTATAAAATACTTGGTAGTTCCTATGAACGCCTGTCCACCCTCCCATGCACACTCTTCGATTCTTTTTATAGCTCCAAAGCTTACCAAGTACCCTACAAGTAGAATATTATGCTGAAACACCCTCCACCAGGGAATTTATAGCCCAAAGAAACAACCACATCACAACGTAACAATTCCCCCATGAATGCACAGGGCAATTACAAGTCAACAGCTTTCAACATTTCTGTGGTAACAGGTGTTAATCAGAGAGAGATCTCACTCCTTTAGAATACATAGCTCACAGATCGTTTAATAGATATAAGGTGACTAACAAGTAAAAATAAAAAAAAGGCTGTTCTACATGAGGGCTACGTAATTGTGTTACCACAGTGGTCTTAGCAACCTCAGCAACCACTCTTAGAAGAATTAAAGCTGCAACACAAAATGTTTGAAATAATTACATAAACTTGCTCTTCCATCACTACTTAATCAGGATTTCACTTCCCTGTGCCCAATACCATACCCAGATTAGGGACAGGGGAAGGAAAAAAAGAAAAAAAGTAAACCTCAGATATTATCCAATGGCCACTTCCTCCCATTCAAGCATAAAGAGGTAAAACATGCGAGTCAAAATCATTTTCTGAACACAGTGCATTTATTTGTTGCCAGCAACAAGTTCCTTCAGCAATCTGTAAGGCAGCAATATTACTCACTATCTCTTCACAAGGGATGCACGACTGGTCTCGCACAGACTTCACATGACAGAGGAACTGAAAAGAGGAGGGGGAGACATTAGCTGCCTCGATCCCTTTTCTAGCCCAAGCTGTAGGAGTGACCTCTCCTTACAGCACAGCAGCCTCCTCCCCGCAGCCAGGGCTGCGTACGGAGCTGCAGGTTTGTCCCTGCCCCTCCAGCTCGCATCCAGGGCAGGCTGCGCTTTGCTCTGCCCAGAGGGGAAGCACAGTCGCATAAGCATTGGGTGTGAAATGCCAAGCTGACATAAAGCAACTTCAAGGCATCACAGCCAACTCATCCCTTTAGGTCTTCAGGTCTTCAGTCCTAGAGTCCCCACATGATCCACCTGCACAGGAAAAGGATTTTGTGACTTGTAGCAGTCAGATTTTACTGCCACGCTCTTTGCATTGTTGTGCACCACCACACACACCGTTTGTGTGCCTGCCTGATCCCTTCTGAAAGGTGATACTTGCCAGGGACACTAAGCAGAGCTTGTGAAGGATTTGTGGATTCTCTGGGAGAAAGGACAATATACATTTATTACAGAGTGCCAGGCTGCAGCAATGACTATGCAGAGCATGCAGCAGATGTCAAACTAGGAATCTTTCTGCCAAGATCAGTAACAAGCAACAAAGATGCCAGCAGCAAAAGCTAGAGTCATTTAAATTATTTTTGATTCATTTCAACCTGGATCTTCCTGCTTCCCAGTAAAGCAGTTTAGTTTAAGTCACTCCAGAGGAGCAAAGATGTCTCCCTCTCCCTAATCTTAACCTACCCTCTAGCCAGCTCTGCCTCCTTTAGAAAGCTAGTTGCTTTTTAGCTAATGGGGAATGAGTCCTTATACTTATGCAGACGTTGTTTATAGTAACGGCATCCTTGGAGGAAAGATTCAGGTCAGAGCTGGAAGTGAGCCAACACATTTAACACATTTAATAGTAAATTGAGATAACTGGAAGGATTTAGAACTTGGGCCTTCACATCAACAGAAAGCCAGCTTCAGCAGTCCAGAAGCCCAGGCATCAGAGGGGCATGATTTACTTGACTCTTACCTCTGGAGTGGCTTCATGAAAGTTGCAGACTGTTTCCATTCCTCCCAGTTTCCAGTGCCCATCCTCACTTACAAAGACAGATGATAAACAGACATTGTTATGTGTTAAGTTTCCCTAAAACATTAAAAAACAACAAAAAAAAAGAGTTGGGGATAGATGAAGACACAAAATCTTCAGCAGTGCTAACTAGGTGTTATGAGGAACTAAAGTAAAGCTGCAAAAAAGAACACAGTTTTACAAGTCCTTAAGGATTTTGTAGGTGACTAGCAGGTATCCCACACAAGGGCTGTGGGTGCAGAGCTACGTTCCATTGTCACAGCCCTGTAACGTAACCGTAAGTGCAAAGACCTCCAGCTACAAACGCAAAGCTCAGTCTGAGCTGGGATTTATCTTCAGTCCTGGACAAAGACACCTGACAAAACAGGGGAGCAGAGACACCAATATGGGACATGCAGCAACAGCCGTAAATAAATGCTGAGGCTGAGCAGTACCGTTTCCCTAAACCACGAAGCACTGCAAGCAGTTCTCAGTTCATGAACCTCACTTCCTAAAATCATAGTATTTTCATTTACCATTCCTTCTAAAAAGTAGCCAATGATTTTAGCAGTTTCAGCCTAAAAGAACTGTGGGGTATGGGTCTGTCTTTTTATGTTACAACCCCCTCCTGTCATGTTTCATCTGACTCCCAGGAAAGCCTCATGACTGCTTCTGTTGGTACCTACCCTGTCATGGAGGAAGATGAGAGCCAGCAACACATCGTAGATCCCTGCACAGATCTCTGCAGAAGAGAGTGTGTCCAGGACCGTCTCCAAAGGTTTCACTCGTTCTGTAACCAGGTGGATCCCATTTGCTTCCACAGTACAGGAAAGGAAGCGCAGAAGGCAAGGGTGGCGCAAGGTTTTCAGGTGCTTCAAAAAAAAAAAAAAAATTTAGACAGCCCTCACACTCACTCATTCACTCACTGCAAAACCTTTTATAATATACATCTAGCTACAAAGTCTTACACAGAAGGATAAACATAGTATTTTGGGCATGGCCCACCTAAGAAATTCTCTCTGTCCTAGGAAGATCTGCAAGAAGAGATCAATAGTCCACAGATGAACGCAGGTGTTACTATCTGAACCGCCCCCTTCTTCCCCACCACGCTGCAGCTACATTCAGTCATGGGCAAATTCAACAGTTTCTCCTTCCCTCACCCCCCAAGGGTTTGACATTCATTAACTGGCAGACTTCCACCACTCCTAGAAAGGGGAGGAAACGCTCCCTGTTCCAAGCCTGTTCCAAGCACGGTCTCTACAGTACCTTGGCAGCTTTATTAACTGTATCTTCATTCTCTCTCTTGTACACAAAGACTGAAGCAAGTTTGCCATCTTGCAGCACAGCGGGGTAGATAGTGTGTCCAGTTGGCAGCGTAAATGGTGGTTCTTCTAGTGCGTAGCTCTTTAAAGCACTATTCTCCGAGCCCATCACTTGCAGAGTTAGACTGTTGAAGAGGTTCCTTCTTGATGACAAACAGGCCTTTAGGTGAAGGAGGATTTTTTAAACAGAATTAACTCTAGCAGGCACTGTCCAGCTCCCCTTTAGAGCATTTTCTGCAAAGCATGGGACAGCCGTAAAGAACTTCATCTTAATAGTCCTCCTCTCCCTCAGTTTAAGAACAAAATCCACGTGGTTTATTTTTTAAAGGAAACTGAGTGCCCACCAAAGAGTTCAGATCAACAAGAGAGAACATCTCTAGCTCTGGAACTAGGACTGCACTAGCATCTCTGCCAACCCCACCACCAGCCCCTGCCAGTTCTGCCAGACAGAAGAACGACAACACAGTGTCCATGATGCACTCAGGTCTCGGCTTGGCTACCAAAAACGGATTTCACCAAAGGCCTAATGGATTCCACAGTTAGGAACTGACTGCCACTGCCTTATACATGAGGAGCTCTTCACCTCCTTTAAGAAAGCCATTTCTCAATTCTCCAAGCCACAAAGTATTTCACTAGGTGAAAGGTATAGTCAGATGGGATGGGGAAGTCCTATCGCTTTCCTGGTGGGGCAGTACAGGCCAAAAGAAAGCATTCGTACCTGTTCCAGGGTACCCGAGGCAAGTGGTGGAGAGCAGTTTTGCCTGAGCACTGTCCAGCCGCATCCCACAGACCCCTGCTGCAGTGGCACAGCAGCTCCAGAAAGCACTGGACTCAACCTACAAGAGCTCTCCTGCCAAGCCATACCCTCCTCCAACAGCATGCTTTCTTCCCAGTTACCTGCTCTCCATCTGACAAATATCGTTATCTGCCTGCCAACCCTTCCTTCCTCCCACAGCCTCTATGAGGAAGTGGTTGACACAGATTTTTGTGCTGCTTCCTTGCATGTGAAACAGATAAAACAAACATACTGATTGCAGAGGCTCTTTCAGAAAACAGCGATGCAGCATACGCTCTGTAATTAATTGTTCTCTAAGGCTACGGGCAAGACCCAGGATACTGGTCTTTATACAGAAGTTAGCAAACGATCATTTAATAGTGAGAGAAGCAGAAAGCAAGACCTCACTTTTCAGGAAAAGTGAGAAAAGCCTCCTCCCTCCCCCCCCCACCCACGCTCCCTCCAATAAAGCATTTTTTGCAACTGGAGAATTGCTTTATGATGGATGTTTCCAGCTGTGACCTAAGGCTTCAGAAGGGCAAAAGCATCAAGAGTTGCTCAGCTCCCTGCTTGAGCCAATCCGGCAAAGCTTCTGCTCTGGCCCCCCACGCTATTCTCTACTTTAAGCCTTTCTAGGAATTACAAGGTTAGTGCTGGCTGGGCTTTGGAAGGCTTTTCTGTTACAGTTTCCTTCCACAGCTTCAGTTACAATTTAGTTATCTAAATGATTGCATCTTCCCCCCTAGAAGTATATTAAAGTTTAATAAAAATAGCAGCTCATAACATGTTTAAATATACCAACGTCATAAACCACTAGTCAATATGAGTATTGGAAAGGAGTCAAATGCTACTTTTTTGATAGACAGATGTTATTTCCTTCCACAGTGGCAAGAGAGTGCTCTCTGTATTGCACACTGATTCTATACAAATCTTCCTTACACATCATTTACTCATTTTTGACTGTTAGCTAACGGTTTTGTAACAAATAGGTATGTACGCGTGCTTCTTGCGGGCAGGTACGGACTATAGGAACGCACTAAGCATGGGAACAAGGCAGTATTACAGCTAATTGTTTGATATGAATAGAACCGAACCTAACAGATCATACCAAGCAAGAACACAACAGTCGCTACAGAGGCTGCAATGTTTTTTTAATTGAGGTTGTGGATACTGATTCATCTAAAATCTAATACTGAATTATCTAGAGAACACGCAATTTCAGATCTACAGATACTTTATACCTATCACAGTCTTTGTCTTCCACGTAGGTTCAGATTTTAGGCATCAAGGCTGACCAGTTCTCTAGATCCTACTGGGAACGTTATTATCTCAATCAAAACTTACGAAATCCTCCTAATGCCACCACACACATGGCCTTGCTTGCAAGCTAGAACATGATGGTTCAGGACCGCTTGCTAGCCTACTAACCCACCCTTTTAGATAATCAGTTCAAATGTAGCCCAACTCAGAAGCGACGCTTCAGCTGCCAGTGACCTGCACAAAACAAATCTCAGCCCCTGAAGTCCAGATCTGAGGGAAACATGAATTTAGTACCTATAATTGTGTTCAGCCACTGGTTCTTCTTTTTCTTCTGCAGTACAGTGGTTGAAGGCCAGGTGACATACCATACTACTTCACCTCACCCTAGCATCAGGGATACATGTTTATCTTTTCAGCGTAGATTCCCTACAAAACTCAAGGTATCAGAACTTAAAATGTGACCTTTAAGGAATAAAAGACCTTTAAATGTATCAGCAGTTTTAGAAGCCTTAACTGCTGCTTCTAAACACTGCACAGAGGGGCTTATAGGTAGGAAGGGAAACACAACTTAATATTGACACACACATTTCTAAAAGGCCAGGAGATTGCAGGGAAGTGCTCTCAGCTCAAAGGCGGAGGCTTCCTCTCACACCAGTCCCTAAAGCTTTGCTTTGGCTAATCTGAGGTCTAACCTTTCATTCCTGCGTACAATACTTGCTGCTTCCCCTGGGCACAGCTGAGTGCATTTAGCAGCATTTTCAGTTCATTTCACCTTTGCCTTTTTTTGCCACCTCTACTTGAATTATTTGTCAGATTTTGCGTAGGATAGCTGAAAACACCCGAGCTGACCCTGTGCCTCAGATTGCTCCAGATACGTAAGGACACATCCACTGGCTACCAATTTGGCTTCAGGGACTTTCACAGTTCAGAAATATTGTAATAACAGAGTCATAATCTAAATAACTGTGATCTACTCGAGTGCCACGGTACGACATCCAGCTCAAAACAAGCATCCCCCACCCCAATTAATTGCCCCTAATGAGGAGCCCAGCAACTCTCAATATCAAACACCAAGCGCCTTCAAGAAAGCAGATTCAAAAAAGCAAGCAGTGACAGCAACCCGTGGAAGCACTAGCCACGCTTTTCAAGAACACATCAGCTTCAAGAAACTGAGCAAAGCCATCACCTCTCCTGGTTTCTTTTTCACAGCATTCCCAAACACACCAGTTTTTGAGACTCCAGTAGACAAGCGATACCATTTGCAAAGCTGCATACCTAGGTGCGGCTGTAACCCACGGAAAAATTCTTCAAATGCTAAAATAAACTCTCAGTCACATAACTACACAGTTTAAAGACCACATACGCTTTGTAGGTTAAGACTGTAACTCACATGATAACCCTGAAATACCTTGTTTTCAGTAAATTGTAAAGATGAACATAAGATTAACGGGCAGCGCACCTTGAGATGTGCAGGAGCCCAGCAGAGAAAAACAACAGGGCCTGGCTGGTAAGAATTTGGGCATGTTACCATAAACAGTCCTAGCCTTAAAATTTCAGTTTAAATTCATTGTAGAGGGATAACACTTCCCACATTAGGTATCTGCCTGAAACATGCACTAAGCCCTGTAACTCCAGAGCTAAGAGTGAGGCAGAACTGCTGCCCTGCCAAATTAATACAGAGTTGATAAGAAACCACATCTTCTCCATCTGGGGATGTTATTACAGCAGGGTACGCACAGGTGAAGGGGGAAGGAGCTGTGAAGCCAGCAAAGCCATGGCAATAGCAAGCGACCACAGGCACAAGCTCTGCTAAATCTTCCCTTCCCCCTAAATCCACAACAGGTTTAGTCAGCCTGGTAATTTATGGGTTTCTTAGCAACAAGAAAATCTCAGGCTGGAAACCCAGACTGGGCCTGAGGACTCGCAGGGCAGCCCTAGAGCAAAGCAGTACCTGGAGCCCAGAACGGTCGCACGGCTCTCTCCCAACACGCTGCCACCCGCACACGCTGGCAGAGACGTCGTCCTTCCCCGCTCCCAGCCTCCGTCCCCCTCTCCCTTCTCATCAGGTTGCTCCAAATCCCTTCAGCTGAGCTCCCACTCGGTTCCCAGCGGATTTGCCCATGCCTTCAGGTGGCTGAGTCGAGCCGAGCCGCTCCGGGGCCCCCAGGCCCTGGGAGGGCTCCAGCACACGAGCACAAACGAGGGCGCCAGCCGCACCTTGGACCAGGCGCTGCACAGCTCTCCTCGCGCAGCAGCCTCCCCCCGGCCCGATGCCCTCCCCGGTCAGCAGAGCCTTCTGGAAGCAAACGTCGCAGGTTATCTGTGCTGTTCTCCCAAAGGCAGAGGTTTCTCAACATGGCAGCTGCAAAAGCTCATGGGACACCTTGCACAAGCAAACCCCAGCCCATGGGCCGTGCCACAAACACACACACGTGATCGACAGCTGACAGCCTCTTTGGGAATGGAAGTGCTGTTTTATTGCACCTGTCAAAGGACAGTTCAACTTTGGACACTGAAGAAGTCGGGGAGAACGTACATTTTAACATGGACGGTACCTTGAGAAACAGCAGCATAGCACTAGCTTCCAGCAGCAATGTTGCTACCTACAGTGCATGCAAAACAACGCCAGTCACCAACACAGTGTCGCTTTTTCCCCGAAAAAGTGAGCGTTTGCCTCTACCAAACGCCCTATTAGCAAGCTACAAACACCCAAACGAAGGGCAGCGTCATTGTTTTCCTCCTCTACCCTGAGGGAGGCCTGGCAGCGCCAGGCACCTCGCGGGCGCGAGGAGGAAGAGGAGGCAGCACCCCCAGCAACAGCCCGACTGCCCGAGCAGCTGGGCCAGGCGAGCGGCAGGGGGAGGCCAGGGGAGGGGCAGGGGGA